TAACAATAAGAGGATTGGCCTAAGTCCCATGTGGAACAGCTGAGGGATCCAAGTAGAGCCAGAGGTCAGAGCCTAGACTAATGGATGGAAGCTGCAAGGAGCCAGATTTTGGCTCATTATGAGGATCTTAAGTCAGGGCTGCTATGGGAAGTAGATGACCCCCATCTATAAAGTTGTGTGAACAGCACCTCTGTGAGCTTGATCTCTAGAGATTTAGGCATTAGTTAGTCTGGCCCATTTGAGCTTTTGAGAGCCCTTCAAGTCCACATTATCAGATAGGGGTACAGTCAAAGCAAGCACTGATAGTGTGCCCTTTAGACCCTCCATCCAGTTGGCCTTGGTTCTCCTACACTCCTGTTGGCTAGCACTTGAGCTGCTAGAGGCTGAGGGACAATGGACAGAGCAGCTCTGGAAGACCCCCCAAATTCTATGCACAACCTTTGGTAAAATGGGTCCTTCTTGCTTTGGCCTCCCATTTGGATCCATGCTTCCAGGCAGTTTTTTGTTTGTTCTTAACTAAAAGGAGAAAAGGGGCTAAGTTTGGGCATGTCTGAGCCTTCCTCCACAGCCATGAATTGGGGAGCAGCCTCCCCTCCCCAGGGCAGTTAAGAAAAAGGAACAACCCAGGCAACGTAAGGACAGGGATGGGAGAAAAGTGTTACCCTGGAACTGGATGGGATCCTTTAAAAGTCCTCACCTACCTCAGGGGACACAGAGTGTTTTAGAGGGGTTAGGGACTGAAGCCCTGTAAGTGTTCAGATCCAGCCCGAAAAAAGACAGTGGCAGGTGGGTACAGATAGCACCAGCGTGGAACAGGCCTAGTTCTGGGACATGGGAAAAGCTTAGAATTGAACAGTTAATAAACTTCATTAACTTTCCTACTTGAAGATACGTGGAATGTTCTGGAAGGTTGCATGCAGGACTCTGCTTGAAACCTACTGAACTTTCTGTTCCCAGGTTCTGGGGCCCCAAGGAATGATCCTGGCCATAACCCTCTGCGAGAGAACAAATTTAAAGGTCTATATCAAGGAGCTCATGATTAAGGCGCCACCTATTACAGACTACCAATACTTTTACAAACCAAAAATGAAGAGTTATCCAAATGAAACTCTAATCCCTTTTTGATAAACAATTCCTGCCTCTCAAGAAAGTCTGTGCACCCACTTGTTTGGGAATCACTAGCTTCTGCATGTCTCCTTTAGTTTCTCCCCATTTGCCAAATACAAAAGACAACATTAAATGTTTTTATGGTTTTGGGGTTTTTTTGCTAATCAAGGCTTACTGACCTAAGCAGACCTGAACCAGAAGGGACTCAAATCTTTACCACTGAATCATGTGGTCACTGCAAAGCCATGGTTAGGAACTTGCCCCTCACCTCCAAGGTTAAAGAATCAAATGGTTTCCAAGGGACCAAGTTGTACTAGCTGTGGGTTTATTGTTAATTTATTCACAGACTGTACATCAAAGATTGAACGTAGAAATTGGTGTTACTATACTCTGCAGAGGAAGGACCTCTGGCTTTGTCTAGGACCTTACCACTGCTGTATACCTCTTCAGATTCTTCTGGTCCCTGCATAAAGTGTGAGCTCTTATATACGATGTAAACTCAAATGCCTGTAGGGGCCAGTAAGATCACAGAGGTGCAAAGCAGTCCATTTCCACAAAGAAATACACCCTCTCCCATTTTTCCTGGAAATGCATGGTCCTTTTTTAAAATTTCCCCTTTTGATAGACATGGGATATAGAGATATTTCTCTACTGTGAGCAAAATGTTGCAAGTGTGTGCATCAAGGCCTTTTACAATTCCCCTGATGGTAGGAGTGCAACGAAATGTGGAGAAATATCCTATCTAAAAGGCAGATGTTAGAGCTTCTCCCAGGCAGTAATGTAGTTACCTGAGTTAGCTCAATGGTGGCACATTTTCTCATTTTTTGAGAGAAGTCAGAAATCTGGATTTTTATGCAAAGTCTCCTCAGTCACGAATATTGGCTAAAGTTATTTAAAGATGCTGTGCTAGCCACAGGCAAACACTGTGTGACTATGAATCTTGGTCTGTTCTTGGTCATTCTAAAACAGGCCTCCTCTTGTCTAGTAGCAGTCCCCTCCCAGGACTGTGAAGGTGAATGCTGAAGAGGCAATGGTGTGATGGGAGGGCCAACATACCTCAAGACTAGTGACAGGGCCCCAGACTCAGAGAGCCTTAAGAGCAGCATGATGGCTACATGCATAGTGATACTGTGACCTCACAACAGATGGTGAAAGTGAACTCTGCACAGGCTTCTTGGGGATGAGTGCACTGAGCATTCTCAGCATATGCAAGTTCATAAGGTCCAAACTCAGGTCTTACTATCATCCTAACACACTAACAGAGGGACCTTCAGATATTCTGCACAAACCCTATGGCTGCCAGGGTTATAAGTTTGGCCTGAGAGCAGGCAAGGAAGGCCTTCTCCTATGATCTTTTCTTTTTAAAAAAGATTTTATTTATTTATTTTTAGAAAGAAGAGAAGGGATGGAGAGAGAGGGAGAGAACATCAATGTGTGGTTGCTTCTCACGCACCCCAAGCATGTGCCCTGACTGGGAACTGAACCAGCGATCCTTTGGTTCGTAGGCCAGCACTCAATCCACTGAGCCATACCAGCCAGGGCTCTCCTATGATCTTGACCATAGGCAGGTAGCAATATGTGATCTCATCACAGGGCTGAGGAACTGAGAGGAGGCAAGGCCAGGAAAGAGTCCACTTGCCTAGTGCACTGAATTGAAGAGAGAGTAAATTGAAGTAGCACCACTACTTACCGGTTGTCCCTTCTCTCAGCCTTTCTTCATGAGATCTGGTGACCTTCCAGGAAGCCCAAAGGTCCAAGACATAGCCTTGGTCTCCTCACCATTTTCCCAAAAAGTAGTATGGTGGCCACTACTTGGGCTCTACCCTTGGTGCCTCAGCCTCAGGCTGTGGCCTTAAGGAAGATATATATATATATATATATATGGAGTCAATAATGACCATAAGGACAATTAACTGGCCTAAGGTAGGCTATTCTTATTCATTTTGGCTCATACTGGAACCATTACAGCAGGCAAGGTACACCTTGTGAACAAAATGCCAGAACCTCAGAAGGAAGCAAGAAATCCTACTCTCTCAGAACTGTGGTGGGTAAAGGATTTCACCCAGCAATAAATAAAAGGGCAACAGAGGGAAAAGTAGTTTGGCTCAGAAGAAATAAAATCCTGATCAATTCCAAAGACAATATCACAATTGCCTAGACATTTACACCTTTGATCCTGTCTTGTTCTTTGTGTCTCCCTATAAGACCTGTATGTACTGTTCACTCAGTCTTGCATTATATTTGCTATCTCATCCCACCTCAATGATCACAGCCTGAGAAAGGCTGGGCCCCTCTTGTCCATCTCCCACTGAAAAGGGAATAAAGTTGAGCATGTCTGAGCTTTCCTCCCAATCAGGAATTGGGGAACAGCTCCTAGAAGGCAGGGACTAATGTCCAGCCTGATTTGGCCTCTCCCCTCCGGGGTAGGAAGGGAGAAATGTTACAATGGGGACAAGGTAATATCGAGGGTTGGGGGATCCTTCAAAAAGCCTCCCACATATCTCCCCTTCCATAAATAGCCCAGACTCAGTTTAGGGATGGGAAGGAGTAAGGTATCAGAGTTCAGATCTGGCCTAAAAAAACCTGAGGCAAGAGAATGGCGCTATAGGAGTACATATACCCCATCCCCCAAATCCAGGCTCACTGAGTACAGCTGGCCTGAACCAGGGTGGGCTCAAATCTTTACTAATGAACGGCGTGGCTACTACAAACCCGTAAGGCAGGGGTTCCCAACTTCCAGGCCCTGGACTGATACTGGTCTGGGCCTGTTAGGAACTGGGCCACACAGGAGGTAAGCTTGAATGTAATGCACTTGAATCATCCTGAAACCATCGCTCCCACCCCAGTCTGTGGAAAAACTGTCTTCCACAGTACTGGTCCCTGGTGCCAAAAAGGCTGGGGACAACAGCCATAAGAGCTTGCCCATGACATCTAAGGCTAGAGAGAATCAAAGACACCAAAATGAACTAGCTATGGGTTTATCCCAATTTATACAAGGATTTCACACAAGAGTGTGAGTGCAGGAATTGGTATGAATGTGCCAAAGCACCTCTGGCTTTGTTTAGGCTCTAGACTTAGGCCTTTACCCTTGTGGTAGATCTCTTGCAAAGGTTTTCTTATCGCACAGCTTAACACTCAGCCCCAGGGCATAAACATTTGAGCGCTGACAATCTGGCAGTCATACACTCCCCACATGCAGTGACTACGGGTTAAGAGAGCCTAATACCGCTCTAGCCAAATGGACTGACCAACTGCATAGCACTAGTTAGAAACAGAAAAAAAGCCACAAGCAGGTGTGAACAAGCAACCCAGTTTCCACTACTGGCCTCCTGATCCTCAATAGTCCCACCAACTCAAACTCACCAAATTCCCCATTGTCTCAAGCAACCATGCATGTTTCCAGAACTTGGCTTGTAGGACCTGCAATGAACACTGCAAGCTAAACAGGATGGGCTACAATGAGCAGCTCTATTTCTAGGTTTGGGTTGCATCATTAGCAATAGGGCTCACTGGTAAAGGGATGACCGGGAGGCAGGCACACTGACCAAAAAGATAAATTTGACTCTACTAGCATGTTTTAACCACTGAGTCCATTAGAACTATAGGTAATAAAGTGTGACAGAAGAGAGCAAATGATTTGTTCTCTGCTGTCATGCCCACAGAGTAACTTCTCCAAGGTCATATGTTAGATAGGTATGGGCACAGGAACATTCATTCCTTATTCTTGATGACCTTGCTTTCCCACTCCCTCATGCCACCAACAGAAGGGGGAGTGGGATTTGGGACTGACCATAGAATAGCAAGGTTTCCACACATCACATTTCTAGCCTACATCAGGTCTCACCTGCGGCTTGGGGAACTCACAGAAAGACAAAGTTGTACAACCTCAGAAATTTTCTTTTGGCAGCCAACAATTGGTCACATTGCACGTTTCAAGGTTACAGAGCCCCACAGTACGACTATGGGGACAGGAGCAGACAATTCTTTCTCAGAGCTCTACAAAAAAGCCAGAGCAAGTGTTCCAGAAGTTGACATCAGAAGGCAACCTCTGGAAACAGGCACTCAAGGGACTCCAGAAAACCCTTCACTCTCGGGCCTTCAGGGCTCTTCATTTTGGGGCCTCCTTCTTAGGCATCAAAAAGTCTCCTTTTCTGGACCGCAGGGGGAGGGATGTGCAGGTCAATGGCTAAGCTGGGCGGGTGGGGAAGAGGAGGGGAGAGCAGTTCCTTCGGACCCCAGCAGAGGTAGGCTATGGAAGACGAAGCGTTCAAGACAGGAAAGGCCATTTTCTGGGGTCTGGCTGGGGGATGCTCCCCTTCCCCTCTCTCCGATTAAAAACGAAAGCCCATGATGATGAAGACTGTGAGAAGAAGGAAGACTAAAGTCGTGTCTCTGGTCTCGTCCCAACGGAAGCCCTTCTTAGCCCGATCCTCCTGCTGCTTGCGAAGGGCCTCACGACGGGCCCTCAAGCGGCGTTCGCGCTCTAGCTGTTCCCCGTAGTGCGCCTGGTAGAAGGCGTCAAAGTCGAACATACAGCGGTTTGCTCCCGACGCTGCCTGACCACCGCCGTGGGTCCGAGAGGACGGCGGCGGGGTGCGGGGCGAGCCAGAGTCCGCGGAGGGAGCCTTGGAAGGCCGGACGCCAGGTCCGCGCAAGTCCGCGTCGCTGAGCAGGCCGCGGTCATACTTGCGGCGCAGGGTGGCACTACCCAGCACCACGTATGCCTGGGAGATGCGCGTAAAGCGTTCGGCAGCCTCAGCGCTGCCCGAGTTGCGGTCCGGGTGGTAGAGGAAGCTTTGCCGGTAGTAGGCGGCCTTGATTTGCGCCTGCGTGGCCGTGGAGGGGACGCCGAGCAGCTCATACAGCGCCGTACGCGAGTACGGGCCGTCGCCCCGGGAATAAGTCCTCGCTTCTAGACCCAGGAACGACACCCGCTTTTGTGGAGGCCCCCGAGCCAGCCACAACTTCCACATTAACATCCGCGGCCACCTCAGATCGTGCTTGGCTGCCATCTTGAATGAATCTGCTGGGGGGTGCAAACCTTAGCCAGCCAATTGGAGGCCTGTGTTGTTCGTAACGTGTAGGCTCTGCAGCCAATCGAGTGAAAAAGAAGGCAGGGAGGAGTGGAGCATGCGCATTAACGAGGCAGGCGCGGAGCTGATGATATAAAAGCCGGACGCGTGAGCCGCTGGGCAGCACTTGGGGAGGTGAGGTGCGGTTATGGCGTGCGGCGGACGCAGACCGGAGCACGGGGGACCCCCAGAACTGGTGAGTTGTGTGGCCCCCGGGCACCCCTTTGTCGTAGGATCTCCACATCTTAATTTCTGCTCTTACTCCCCTTTTCTTTTGCGCAGTTTTACGACAAGAATGAAGCCCGGAAATACTTACGCAAGTAAGGGAGCCTGGATGTTGAGCAGCGTCGGGAGTCGGGAATCCGCAAGTAGCCCTGATTGGGGGCATTGCTTGGAAAGCACGCAGAATTTGAGGGGTGGAGGTGGAGGGTTCATCCTATTTCTTATAGTGGCAAAGTCTACTTCAGTTAAATCTCAACCATATGGGCCTCAGTTACCTAAGCATTAATATGGGAATGATCGTATGTTTTCCCGGCTTTTCAAAGTTTATTGCGAGAACTTGTTTTAAGCGTGTGATAAAATGGGCTGGAGGCAGTGGGTACCTATAAGAGGTTTGTGCTTTTGGGGGAAAGGGAATAGTATGCATAGAATGTTACTGTGTTCCCCTGTTTGTGTTATCTCATTAAATTCTCTTGACAACTGTTGGTGTAGTATCTGAGTTTCCTAGAGGATCGTTATTTCTTTAACTAGAAAGTAAGAGAAGGCTAGAGCAGAGACTTCCAGATCTATCCTTTTTGGTACACCACTGTATAGAAAATTCTACAGATACATGATTTTGGGAAAGCCAGATAATATTATAGACCTATTCTGTACAGTGGTAACCAGTAGCCGTCAGCCATCTGTAGAAACATGTTTAGTCTGAATAACTTAGAATGAAGAAAATGTAAAATATTTTATTGATCATTTTTATATTGATTATGTGTTGAAATAATTAGAGTATATTGGGTTAGGTAAAATACATTATTTAGGTACATTGGCTTAATGACTGCAATTAGTTTTATATATTTAGTTTAACTTCAGCTGTACTACTGTAAAATCGTATGTGGCTTGCATTATATTTCTTGTGGATATCCCAGCTGTTGATTTTTGTTATGCATTGTTGATCCTTATATCTGAGAGTATGGTGGGTAAATTTCCAGAAACTGAGTTCTTAAGTAATACAACATCGAAGAGTGATAGATTTGAAAATACCTAATTGGTTAAGTGATTTGTTCCCTTTATATTAATTTTGCATCAAGAATAGTTATAACTTGTGTCACAATAAAATTACACGTCACTGTGTTATATGGACATTTGAGATCACTTTTAAGTAGTTGTAGTTGACTTTGTTGACCAGGAAAGAGCATTTGGCTTTTTTTGGTTGTCATTGTTGTCTGGGCGCAGTATTAGCCCAGAACTTTACCTCTTGCTTGTGTTTTTTGCCTTCTAGCTCTAGGATAATTGCTATCCAGACTAAAATGACTGAGCGAGCATTGGAGCTCCTTAATCTGCCAGATGAGAAGCCCTGTTACCTGTTGGATATTGGGTGAGATCCTGGGGCCCAGTCAGATTGTCCAAGTTATGGGGCTCATCCTTGCTATTCATACTGTTGAGTCACTGTTTGATTGTATCTTCCAGCTGTGGTACTGGGCTGAGTGGAGATTTTCTCTCGGATGAGGGACACTACTGGGTGGGCATCGACATCAGTCCTGCCATGCTAGGTAGGTATGTTGTACTTAGCACTGCAGTGGACTACCCTCATGAATATGGAATAGTTTATGCGTATCGTCTGTTTCCGTCATTCTTCTCTGATGTAGATGCAGCCTTGGATCGAGAAGCACAAGGAGACCTGCTTCTGGGAGACATGGGCCAGGGCATCCCCTTTAAACCAGGCTCCTTTGATGGTTGTATCAGGTAAGAGTTTTCATGTTTTGCTTTTAGACCTGAAGACCTTTTTTGTTATATACCTGGCTGTGCAGCAGAGTCATATAGAATACTTAAAAATATACATCCCATGGGATTTTTAGGTTTATATAAGGTCAGAGTAAGGCCCCAAAACGTGTTATTTTGTATGTCAAAACTAAGTACTCCTGTGCTTAGCACTGGAGTGTACTCCTATCTTGCACTACCAGGTTCAGGCACCACTGGTATAGATTCTTTCTCAGCTTTGAGTATGTGTGGTAGGGAAGGGTGGACTTCTTGAGCCAGTAGGAGCCATCATGTGGGCCCTAGCCACCGTCCTATTGGCACCACCAGGCATGTTGTTGCTTTATTAGAAATTTGTAGTAGCGTGTTGCCTAGACTGCTCCAATCTCTTCTGCAGCTTCGGAGTCCTTTCTGGGGCGTCAGTCAAGGTTTGAGTGTGCATGTAGTATTTTAATAACTGATCTTAGACCATTGAAATTACTGTTGTTCTTTGTATTAGTGGTAAATTCTGTTCAGTAATTCAGCATAGTGTTTTGTTGGTGGAGTGGAGACGGAATAGGAGAGGAAGTCATCGTTTCATCATTTTCTGGTAAGGAGAACTGTGATCGTGTGTTGAGCAGTAGAGGTGCAGAGTAGGGATCTGGGTGAGTAAAAATAGAGATTTGAAGATTTTTATTATGTGGTAAAGGATTAGCGTATATCTAGGAACAAGATCAGAGGGAAAAAAGGCATTTCAAGGATAGTAATTGTTTCTTAGTAATGATTGGTTGCAATGTTCTAAGTTGTAGAAAACTAAATACCAGTTACATGATCTGTGTGTTTTGGTAGTAAATAGTCATTTTTAATTTGTTTTTAAAAGGCGAGATGGTATGGCAGGCCCTCCTTAATTTTTTTTTTTTTTAACATTTGTTATATGTAAGACATTGTACAAGGTGCTGTAGAATTTGGAAAGAAAATACAGTCCCTGCTTTTAAGACTCCATGGTTAATAGGCTGCTAAAAGACATGGACCAGGTGAAACAGAAGGCGGAATGTGGGATGTATACTAGGGAGTCGTGGGACCACCAGAGTTGTGAAGAGAAGCAAGAGAGACAGAAAAGCCTTAAGAAAGGAGGGGCTAGGGTTGGGTCATGAAGGCTGAGAGGAATCCGAATAGTCAAGAGGGTTTTCTTAGTGAAGGAATAGTATGAGCAAAGGCACGGAAATGGGTGGGGAAAGGAGTCTGAGTCAATCAGATAGATCATAGGCACGAGTGAGAAATTTCATGGAATTTGAGATTATGTGAAGTTGGGTCATAGAAGATTTTTAACTCTTACCGAAAGAAGTTTGGGGTTTACTCAGTAGTTGATGGGGAGCTGGGGAATGAAAACATAAGATCTGTGATTTAGGAAGATTATTTAGGAGAAGAAGGGAGAAGAGGTAAGTTGTTGAAACAATTGAGATGGTAATAAATGCTGACCTAGGAGAGTGGTGGAGGAAAGTAAAACCTTGGAGAGGCAGTGGGACAAATCAGTAGGGTTTGGGGTTCTGTGGATGGGTGTTTACAGCACTGAGGAAGTGAATGTCAGGAGGATGTAGTAGCTGCTTGAAATTTTAAATCTGGGGATTGTGGAGACATAAATCCCCAGGTACAGTTGAAGGAACTGATTTTTGAAAGGGAATGAATGGCTTTGTAAGTACTGTAGAACATATTTCCCTTGATTTGGAGCAAGAGAATGTGAAGAGGTAGGTGACAGAGAGAGCCTTGTGATACGGCTGAGTAATTTTGAACTTGACATGCATGTAGAAAAAGATTGAGAAAATGTTTCTTTGGACTAACTGCAAGGAAGTTGGTGCTGACCTTCTGTATAACCTGTTTGGTCCAGTGTTGTACTGAAGTGGACCTGCACAAGCCAAGAAAGAGGAGGAGTGGGCAGGAGGGTTTTACCTGGAGATCAAGGACGTGTGGTATGAGTCCGGAAGAGGCAGGGGTGAGCAATGTGTGCTGGTTACATTCCTGACTAGGTTCCTTCCTTTCAGCATTTCTGCTGTGCAGTGGCTGTGTAATGCTAACAAGAAGTGTGACATTCCTGCCAAGCGCCTGTATTGCTTTTTTACTTCTCTTTATTCTGTGCTGGTGAGTATAAGATCTACGCATCTGGGCTGGCTACCTATCCCTCCCTTGCCTTGCAGGTAAAGTGATTACGAAGTAGAGTCTCATAGCAGGGCTATTCAGATGAGACTGCAAGGGATGGCAGGGCCTTATTTTGATCCTCAGCCTAAACAGAAAGCTCAGTTAGAAAGTGTCAGTGGGCTAACAGTCTCTAATGGAATGGAGATGATGCTAATGTCAAAATCTGAGACTGACTAAAATTCCTGTGGCCACTTTGCTGAATTTTAATGAGAAGTTGGTTTGGGGACATGGACACTACAGAGTAAGGACAGGGACATCATGTCCAGGACACACAGCATACCTTCCAGAGTGCCCACATCCTCCAACTCCCACCCCTTCCTCTTCCTACCTGCTGATCTCCAAGATGGGAAGCAGAAAGTCCCAAAAATGAGTGTTGACATTTTTTAAGGAATCAGGTGTTTCTTGGTGTCCTTAGTCTCCCCGTCTCACCTAGGGTGGGCGGTTCCTGCGGGTGACTGTCTGGTCTTATGCATTATGAGGTGTTTCTTCTATTCATGCACTGGGGTTAATCCTGAACTTTGAGGGCCTCTGTGTGCTGAGATGTGCTTCTGTCATATGTTTGAATGACCAGCTCCCCACTATATTCAGGTCTCTGCTCAAGTATCCCTCCAAGAGAGGCCTTCCTTGAACCAGGAGTAAACTCAACAGTCTCTTGTCACTCACTATGCCTTTATCCTAATTTTTTTTCTTTTTCTTTTCTTTTCTTTTTTTTTTTTTTTTTTTTTTTTGGCTCTTAATCACAGCTGTTAGCTGCTCCAAAAGTTCAGAGACAATCTCTTTTTGTTTATGGCTGTATTCCTGACGCTAAGAACAGTGCTTTGTACATAATGGGAACTCAATTATCAGTGAATAAGAAAGGGTAGAGTGTCTGGGTCCTAACCCCATGGGATATTTGTAAGGTAGTGAATGTTTCTGTTTCTTGCAGGTCCGTGGAGCTCGAGCTGTTCTGCAGCTGTATCCTGAGAATCCAGAGCAGGTAAGCCTCTTCTCTACCAGGAGGTGCAGGGAAGGTGGAGAGGCCCAGAATAGGTAAAATGTGCTTTTCCTGACCTCCCACTATTGGGAAGTGACAGAACAAGGATGCTTATGCTGCTTGATGGGAAAAGGATGGAATGAGTACCTGAGAGTGGTCCCTGTGGCCCCTGATGTCATGTTTTATGGCCTGATATCCTAAGGAGGAGCACTGGTATTTGTGGAGGTAGGGTAGGGTATTTATCTTCTCTTGACAGGAGGTGGTATCACAGGTAGTATCATACATTAGTGGTTCCCATAACCAAATGTAAATGGGAGGGTTTGAGAGAACTTCAGTAGTTGTCTTTTCTATGGAGCATAATGCAATATAAAGGAGTAACGAGGAGGTCAGAGTTACAGACCTTGAAAAGACAAGTTGTGAGTTGCTTCTAGCTAATACCATGAATGGATCAGCCTCCCAGCTGGTGGCCATTTATTTCCTGAGATTTGAATGGGTAGATGGGTCCCTAGGCTAGGAGGTGAGAATTGCTTATTCTGTAATTCCCTTGAGGGAGGTGTTTGCCATGGCTATTTCAAGCTTGAACTTTCCTCTACTTGAGTTTTAGGGACTCAGAATTGAGAACAGTCTAATAAAGACCTTTAGTTCTCCCAGGCAAAATCCATCCTGGAACCCAGCTGGCTTACAGGGAGGGAGTGAAAGCAGTGTGTTTCCCCAGCCTCTCTGACTCACTGATGTTCTCTCCTCAGTTGGAGCTGATTACAACCCAGGCCATGAAGGCTGGCTTCACTGGTGGTGTGGTGGTGGACTACCCCAACAGTGCCAAAGCAAAGAAGTAAGTGCTGGAGGCCAGTGTGCTGCTTGTGCTCTTGGATAGAGGGTGATGGTGTGGATCAGAGTAGTGCCGGTGGTTGGGTCCCTGAGGCACAAGCAGGAGGCGCACCTGTTTTTTGGAAGGGCAGGTGAGGACTTGTCATGACCTACAAGGCTTTGAGTCCTTGCACTTTTCTTGTTTCAGGTTCTACCTCTGTTTGTTTTCTGGACCCTCGACCTTTCTGCCAAAGGTGAGGGACCCTGAGTTTTCAGGCCCATGTCTTTTGGGTTCCCTTCTTGTGAGGCTGGGCCTAGGACCTGTTGGAAGGGCCTAGGCCCGGTGGTTGCCCAGGCCTTCTGGGGTAGGACAGATGGGTTGAGAGATCTCCAGGGTGATCTAAAAGCACTTTGGTTCCTGCAGGGCCTGAATGAAGTTAAGGATGAAGAGGAGGCCAGGCAATCCACATTCACAAAAAAGAGGTAAAGCGAACCATAGATGAACCTGCCTAAGGTTCAGGGAGCTACTGCTGCTAGGTTTATTAGACATGGCAGAGGAAGCTGGAGGTAGCAGGACTACTCCATTTCTCTTTGCTTTCACCAAGTCTCAGGATCAGATGTGGCAGTGATACCAAGGTGGTAATAGAATCGGGAACCTCTTGTTCCTGTGCCTGCTTCTGCCTTAAACTGGAATGTCTGTGAGCATCCTTGTGGCCTTATTCTTTGCCTGCCTTCTTGCCATGCCTGGCAAGCTGTCCCCTCCTTCCCTAGGCAGCCTCCTCCACCTGTGTTCTGGATCCCATTCCCTCTTGACTCCTGTGGCTCTCCTCTTCTGCATCCTAATCTTTACTCTCCTGGACTATTCCTATCAGCTCATAAACATGCTGTGCAATTTCTCATGTTTTTCCAGAGATCCCTTTACCCCGTAACAACTCCAAGCTGCCACCTTGTTTATTTGCTTCCCTTTACATAACAAAACTTGACTCTTCTTGATTTTTCCCCTGCCGTTCTCTCAGTTCTCTTCTCTGGCTCATGCTTCTGTCTCATCACATATTGCTCTTGTCAAGGCCACCACCAATCTGTCTTGCCAAATCTGTGGTCACTTCTCAGCTTTTTTTCCCGTTTTGTGTTTATCTTAACTTTGCCTGCTCAGGAGGAGCTGACAAAGTGCATCACTCACTTAACACTTTTCTTGCTTGGCCTCCCACTCACTGTCTTGGTTTTCTCTTAACCTTACTGGTTGTTCCTTCTCAGTCCACTTTCTGGCCCGTCTTCTGGAGCACTGTGGGGCCTAGCCTGGACCCCCCTTCTCTCTCTGCACTGCCTGAAACACCAGCTACAGGTTCATAACTCCCAGATTTATATCCTTGGCTTTAATCCCACCTCCGATTTCCAGCCCCTTCTAAGTATCCATACTTGAACTTGCTATAGATGTTTAGAACAAAATAGAGCTCTTGGTTTTCACCACCAAACCTCCTTCCTCCATTCTTTACCATTGTCAGTTATTCCTATCTTCCTTATATCATATCCGGTCAATTTGTCAGCAAATCCTACACCCCTCTCCTCAATATATATCCCAACTCCAACCCTTTTCCCCACTCTTGCCAGTTTTGCCTGGATTACAGAAAACTGCCTCACTTGTCTCCCTGCTTTCACTCTTTGCTTCTTTCCATTTATTTTCTGCACAGCAGCAAGAATGATCCTTTTTTCCTTCTTTGTTAAAATATCTTGTCATTTCTCTGTTTATCATTTTTAGTTGAGTTCTCCTTATCTTTATTTTCCTTAACACCTTTAACTGCTCTAAGTCATGTATTTGTTTACTTGGTTATTTGTATCCCCAGTGAGAATGAAAACTTGGTGGGGACTGTTGTTTTATCCCTGACATTAGAAGAATGTCTCATTAATAAAAGGTATTCAATATTTGTTGAATGAGGAATTAAGGATAGTGAACGAGGAGTTATTTCTTAGTTCTGGTTGATGAGTGGAAGGTATTAAGGCTTTGAAGACATTTAAGAGGAAAAATGGGCAGAGAATTCAATTAGTTCCATGCCCACTAGTAGTGAAAATGATGATTGTGTTCTTGTGTCCACTACAGATTTATGCTGTTTGATCCCTTGTACCTAAGTAGTTCTCTCTTAGCTGCTTCAGCCCATTCCCCATGGGGACTTAGGAGCTCTTCTAGATGTTTTCTGCTCTAAGGCACCCAAAACTTGCTCCCAGTGAGTGGGCCCATCTCCTACTTCACAGATGAAGTACAAGTTGTTTAACTCACTCCATCCATCTTAGGACTTCTCTTGTCCTCACAACGGTGTCTACAGACGACATGTTCTAACTGTAAACTTGGGTAAGTTTTGTGACCTGAGCATACATTTCTCTATTTTAAAAGGGGGGATATTGCTACCCACTTGGGCAGCATGTTGAGTAGAAAATTTGTTTTTACAGGACTCACGGCACAGGGCCTAGCACAGACCTTGTCTCCCCCAGTTCTGCAGGCTCTTACTCTTCCAAGTCCTCAGATTTGGGAAGAGGAGGGAAAGAGGCTGTTGTCTATTGGAAGGATTATCAGGCTTCCCCCATTACTATCACTTTTCTCTAATCACATTCTAGCCACTTACAAATAAATAGGTGAATTTAAAAGTTTTAAAAACCTTTATCTGATTTATATCTTTCTTTTGCATCAGTATTGTTTCACCTGTGCATTCCTTAATTCTTGCCATCTGCTCTCCACCCTACCACTTCTAAACCGCTCTCTTGAAAGGTTCAGTCCACTTCTGGCATTTGCCACTGTTGCCCACCTGGGGCCTGGGCCACTCATCATCTTCACCTGCTACCTTTAAGTCCCCTGATGACTCTTTACCATTGTTTCTGCTGTGGCTCACAGCTTGCCCTTCCTTATAGATGCGTAGGGATTAGTCCTGCATCTCCAGATACCAGTTTGCAGTTGCCTTCTGCTTTGCTTCTGGCATGTCAGACTCCTGATCCCTAATTGTGGATTTAAGTTTCTTTCATGAATCACTGCCTCTCTACAATCTAAAGTCTAGATCATTTTTCATTCCTTTGGTATAAAATGTCACTGATTTCCCACTGCTTACTGAAGGGAGGGCACACTCCTTGCTGGTGTTCACACCTCCATGAACTGGTCAAGCCAAGTGAGATTAATTTTTTTTTTTTAAATGATATGATTCTGAGTTTTGTTAGAACTGATGAAAAGTAGTAACAGAAAGGGTCTGTCATGTAGTCCAGCTTCCACTAGTCCTCAGGCAAGGAGGAAACTTGTGCAGGAGGTGAATTGATCCTCTGCAGACCCTCAGAATCTCACTTGGACACTTCTTATACCCCTAACTCCAGGCACACAGGACTCTCTTGTTCCCTAACCTTTTCCTTCATTCCTTTAAGTGTCTCATTTTCATATATTGCCTCTTGTCTGCAGTGTTGCTTGCCTGTAGAAATAACCAGCTTATCTCTATGACCTTCTTATTTTTCCTAGGCCCTGTGTTACTCCTTTCTTGTCACTCCCTTAGCAGCTCCTGGTCCTCTCTGCACTTGCTTTGCCTATGTGAATGATACCTGCCACAGCCCAGCCATGAACTCTTTCAAGGGCAAGGCATGTTCATAGCCATTGTAGAACATCCATGGGCTGTGCATGCTGGTGTTCAGGAAATGGTGGTCACGCAAATGATAAGCATCCTTGCTTGGTGTGAGTTATGCTGGAAAGTGTGATCCCAACTGCCAGGTGGGGAAGCGGTTTGGGGGCTTAGGCAGGCTTCCTCTGTTCTCAGGGCCTCTCTTTCATGGGGCTGCAGGGGGTTTCTTTTCTCCTCAGCCAGCACTGGAGGCCAAGATCAACCCTTGAGGATTATTGTCAGGGCTGCTACAAGCTGGGCAGCCTTGTTTTCCTACCTCAGACATTTGTTTGTTGCTGAGAGCCCCTACTTGATGGGGCATGATGACCTCACAACCAGACCATGGCCTTAAGTGGCAGCAGTGGGCATTGGGCCTCTGGCTTTCTGTGGATATTGCTAGGCTCTTGTGAGCCAATCCTGGCCTTGGTTACCCCAAAAGTAGCCTTGCCCCCTGCCTGCCTGCTCCATAGGCAGGACTTGTACAGACCCAATAAGCTGTCACCTGCTACAAATATGCCTACAAGTGAGTGGGACCTTGCACCTCCTGGCCCTCCTACTAAATAAATGGCTTTGACCCCAGGATGGGGAGGGGTGCCCACAAGTGGGACTTCATTGTAGAAGGGGCATCTGAGGCCACCTCCAACTCAAAGGAAGCTCACCATTTAGCCGTGGCTGGGTAGCTCAGTTGGTTAGGGCATTGTCCTGATATGTCAAGGTTGTAGGTTCCATCCCAGTCAGGGCATGTATAAGAACTACAAAGAATGCACAAAGAAGTGGAACAGCAAATAGATATTTCTCTGTCATTGTCTTCCCCTTTCTAAAATCTGTCAGTCAATCAGTGAATAAATAAAAGGAAGCTCACCATTTTTCCCTGCTTGGATTAACAGGCTGCTCCATTCATCAGCTCACAGCTCTGTCTCTCATACAGGGTCCCATTTAGAATTGCAAAGAGTGGGGTCGTGAAGAACAGAGTGGTGAGAAAGAGCCGTGAGTGGGTGCTGGAGAAGAAGGAGCGCCGTAGACGTCAGGGCAAGTGAGTACCTGGGCCGGGGATAGGCTGCTAGGGATAAAGGGACATCTTGGCCACTAAAGGCTTACCTATATTTGATGGGGTCCCCCAGGTTCTTTGTTCTTTCTATTGAAACTTTTCTGTTCTTCCTTTTATTTCTTCACAGGGAAGTTAGACCTGACACCCAGTACACTGGCCGCAAGCGCAAGCCCTACTTCTAAGCAGTTAGCTGCATTGGATGGGACAGCTCGGCGTGCACACAGTTGTGAGCTGTGCCATCCAGCTCAGGCACTTGCCTCCGGAAAATTTTATATATTGAAGTATCTACTTCATTAGCTGACAAAATAGTGTTTCTTAGAAAAGTTCTGAAAGTATTTTCTTCTTACAGTTTGAGAGCATCTTATTGTGTTCTAAAAGCAATAAACCTCTTTTCTGTGCAACTCTGGCATTTTCCAGGTCTATGATCCTAAACAAATTTAAGTTCCTCTGTTGGTGAGAGCTGTTACTTGATTCCTTGATTCCACAGGTCCAAATTAGGTTTAAAGAACTTAAATGTTTGAAAGCACTCATAACCTGTAAGGAACAAGTAGATTAATTTAGGGTTTATAACAGTAGGCAAACAAAGTTGGGAAGGATGGGCAGGATGAAATGTATCCCTGGTCCCCATTGGCCTGAGGCTGCTGCCCAATCTTTGGTTTCCTTATGATCAGAAGATATCCAGCCCTGGCTGGGTAGCTCAGTTGGTTAGAGCATCGTCCCAATATGCTAGGGTTGAGGGTTCAATCCCTGTTTAGGGCACATAGAAGAAACCAATGAATGCATAAGTAAATGGGTCAGTAAGTCAATGTCTCCGTCTCCCTCTCTAAAATCAGTTTTTAAAAAGGCATTGTCCAGCCCAGCAGTCTGGGCTGACCTTTGGCCCTGAGCTGCATAAGCAGCTCCTGACCAGCCCAGCATTTGGTTGTCTTGGGCCACCTCATTTCTGATCAGTAGTGCTCAGAAGGGCAGGTCCTACCTGTACTGGGATATGTGAGGGACGAGAAGACTGAGAAGAGGGAATCCAGTGGTTGCCAGTGACTTAAGAGAAATGGGAAAATATGGGCCCTCAATATAAAAGACATCAGGAGCTGAGACATTCAGACTGCAGTGGAGGGCCCAGAAGCTCTGGGAGTTGAAGGTTTGAGGGAGCAGACTGGGATCCCTTCTGAGCCCCATCCCCATATTGTCACAGACATTCATCCCCAAGTCGTAAGGCCATAACATTGTAACAGGAAGGAATCAAGAGCAGAGGCATAGTACTGATACAAATGTTTATTCTACATAAAAATTTCACAAAATGGGCAGCTGGTTGTACCAAGACCTTTGGTGAAGGGGTAAAGGGGGGCAGGGAAGTCATTAAAGAAGGCAACACGGACAGTGGTCACAGTCACTGGGCAGGAGCAAAGCTGAGGGAAGGTGAGGCTCGGACATGGGCCCCACTCCCTACCGCATGCACTTGCATGCACACTCCTTGCCTCAACGAGGAAGAGAAGGGTCTTGAAGTGGGGGCACATTTCTGACGTGAAAAGCCCCAAGATGGTGGGGAGGGAGGTACCCCTCCCTGGCTAGCTGCTGAATACTGCATCCAAGACACCTGACACTCAATGTGGCACATCAATGGGGGATAAGCAAGGGGAGGGTGGGATTGCAGGCCTAAAGTGACATCTGACTTCCCAGAGCACAAGAGAGCAGAGACCACCGTCCCAAACATGCAACACAATGGCTTGAGGACCTAACTAAGGCCTGCTGGGGAGAACGGCTGGCCCAGGCTTTGGGCTTGGCCTGACTGGGGCCTGCTCTGCCTCCCTAGCTCCAAGGGTGGCTGGAGACCAGGAATGTGGGAAGGGAGGTTGAGGCAGTGAAAGACCTGTTGGACTCTGCCCCTAGGTAGGGGAGGGAGCCCAGTCTTGACATGGCCAGAAGCCACCTGGCCACAGCACCCTGAGCCTCCCTGGCAGTGACTTGCTGTTAAGAGGCTTAGAGCTGGGCTGTCTCTCAGGGCCATCCCTCCCTTAACCTGAAAAGCAGCACCATGTGGCCAGCTGGTCCCCACCCCTCAGTGGGTTGGGCTTAGGAGGACAGCTGGAGAAGACAGGGCAGATGGGTGGGTCAATAGGAGGCAAGGCTGGGATCCAGAGTCTTGATGCCCAGAGAGGGCAGACCCCAGATTAGGAGTGGAATTACTAAAGGCAGAGGAGAGGGGAGCATGGCTACCTTGGGCAGCCCTGCCTGGGAAGGGTGAGGCAGCCTGGGCCAGGGCCTGAGTCTGTCCCTTGCTGACCAGTCCCCACCCCACTGGCTGTCTCCCAGCCTGGCTCCCCTCTGCCTCTGTACAGATGCACACTGTTACAAAGATCATGCACACGACGGCTCAGGGCAGGGTGGTATGGAGGGCCCTGTGACAGAAAGGAGCAGTATGGGGTGGGAAGGAGAGGTTCCGAGCCGAAGGGCGTCAGCAGCCAGCGGGCTTCCTTAGGGTGGACCATCCAGAGTGGAGTGGCAGGTGGGGTAGTTTCTATCCAAAGATACCTCCAAAGATGGAGGCAATGACAATGCCCAGGACCACACAGCAGATGATGATCATGATCTTCTTCTGCACCACAGAAGCAGGAAGGAAAGGCCTCAGTCAGAGCATGGGGGTAGCTGTGGCTGGGCAGAACTTTGAGGAAACTGGGGCCATGAGAGTATCCTGAGAGGGCTGAGTGGGTACAGCTGGCGCCAGGCAGAGCCCTGAACAGGCAGTCTCTGAGGCCTGTCTGGGACTGTGATGATGGTTGAGGGCTGGAGAGTCTGGGGGGCTAACGGTGAGGACGGTGATGACCTGGAATGGGCCTGTGGGTGGTTGTAATGAGGCACTGAAGACTTGGGAGAGGTGGGGTAGAGGCAGAGTGGGGAGGGATCTGTGATCACTGATGGGTATGGGGGAAACATGGTTGGGCAAAGTTGGGGCTACTGACCCGGCGCGCCTTGCTCTGGTACTTGACAGCCTTCTTGGTGTCAGATACGGCTCTTTCCACGTAGTCCACTGAGTGCTCCACGTTGTACTCAATCCTGTCAATCATCTCCCCCTGCAGGGCCAGGAGCATGCAAACTCCAGAGGGCCCTCCTCAGGGTCCAGAGGGGGCTTGGGGCACGTCTTCAGGAAAGTGCCCTGAGATTAGGGAGAAGAAAGGGATGTGAGGAGGATGGGGTATGGCTTCTCACCTGTGCCCTGCAGGCCAGGCACCCCTGGCAGCTCCCGCCTCTGCCCCCAGAGCAGCCACCCTGGGGAAGGAACTGGCCATGCGGTCTCAGCCAAGGGTGTGGGGACCATGCAAAGAACGCTCAGCTGGGGCCCTGACCCTAGTGCCCGGTGCAGGACAGAGGACAGTGCTGGGCAGAGGAAGTCAGGGGTAGGAGTGGATGGGCTGGAGTGTGGCCATTGCTCATGAGGTGACCATAGTGAGCTCCCAACCCCATCCTCCCCCGGCATGATGTTTTCAGCTCTGTATTTGGTCTTCAGCCTTTAAGAACACCCCCTTCCCCTGCCCAGCCCCATAGCCCTCTTGGGCCCTGCACTCTGGTCCCATGCGGCCTGCAGAGGCCACTCCAACCATGAACTACCCAAAACTCCCAGTGGCAGTGTGCTGATAACTGACCGCTCTCTCCAAGTCCACTGCTCCCATGAGCGTCCATGTTACCATAATTTCTCACCCGGGTGGCAACAGCAGCACACTCATGAGCTCCCTGCTTCTTGACTGGGGCAGGCCACACCACTCCCACGTTTAAGACCCTCCAGTCTAGAAGAGACTCCACCTGCCAAGGCCCCCGTCTACCTCACCTCCAACTGCCCCTGTGCTCCACCCACGTGGATCTCCTTTCTGCTCCTCAAATGTCAGGACCATGGTATTGCTGGTCCCTCTGCCGGGGCCAGCTCTTCATTCTTCCTCTGTGATGTCTCGGGAGCTCAAGCACTACCTCTTCAGAGAGACCTTCTCTACCACCCCATCCAAAGTGGCCTCCACAGTGACTGTATCAAAGTAGTACCCCAAGTGTGACCTTTGGAGTCGTAGCATCAGCATTACCCTTCAGCATGTGAGAAATGCAAATTCATGAGCTCCTACCCCAGCCTAATCTTTGGGACACTTACAAAAAAAAAGCCCTCCAAGTGACTCTTGGGTACTTTCAAGTTTGAGAACTACTGCTCTATGGCCATACTGCCTTCTAACATTTCCTGACCACTTGGCACAACTGGAGAATATTCCAGTTGTCATTTACTTATGTTGCCCTTCATCCAACAGACATTAGCTCCAGGAGGCAGGCTCTCAGCTGTCCTAAAAAAATGCCCATCCACCATGCCTACATGACAAACTGCTGGTGGATAAGATAGGAAAAGGTGGGTAGGGCCATGCAGGGCCTGGGGTCCTGGAGGGCCAAGCAGAGCCATGCAGAGAAGCCTTTAGGTGAGTGAGACTCTGGAGGCAATTTCAACAGCGGGTGGTTAGTTACCTGAAGACTCGGTCCCTCCCAGGCAGGGCAGCGTGTTGGGTAGAAAGGGTGGGGGTTAATGCAGCCCTAGGTGCCACCATGGGCTGCGGGACAGAGCAGTGGGGCTCCAAGTGCTCACCTGGCTCTCCACAAGCATGGCCATGTCCATGAACATGTCATGCAGCTCGCGGATGCTGTTCTCCAGCTTAATGATCTCACTGTGCCGAGTCTCAATCTCACTCAGGGCCTGCTTTGAAATGCTTGAGTCCATGATGATCTAGGGACAGGAGCAGTGGGCTGGGACCTGGCACTTGCTGAAGGGGGGGGTGGGGACCAGGAACACAGGGGGCCAACTGCAAAAGCAGCTGAGATGGACAGTGGCCTGAGCAAAATGTGGAAGGAGGACCTGAGGCTTCCTCCTTAGCTGCAGCCCTCCCCGACTTTCTGCTCAGCTCTTACTGTTACCTAACTTCTCTGAGACCGAAATTCCTACCTGTAACATGGGTCTATTAACACTCCCTACCTGCGCTTGTGCATGGTAACTGCTAAGTGATTGCTCTTATCACCAGTGCTGTACAGAGCCCACGATGACTGCCCAATGGGCCTGGGCGTTAAACTGCCTTTCTCCAGTCCCCTCTCCTCCTGTTCTTCCTCCTACACTAAATGTAGCTGTCTTGCACTTTCTCCTCCGAGAACCCATACCCCCAAACGGCTTCTTTACCTGTATGCCACCTCCTTCAGGAAGCCCCCTGCTCAGCAGAGCACAGAGCTTCACTTGAATTTAGAGATGGCCAAGGGCCTCTCAGGACCTCCAGGCAGAGAAAAAGATCCTGAGGATGGTGGAAGGAGGCCCAAGCCAGTGGGGAATAGGGAGGAGTAGCAAGGAAGTGGATCCACTGAGTGGAACCAGGAGACCTTTGCACACATTTATGTGACCTCAACCTGATCCCCTCCTTTCTCTGCAATTCATCCTTCTCTAAAACCAGCCTCACAAGGTGGCGGTATCCAAATACTGCCCATATCAAGACCCCAGGGTCATGGTGGGAGGGGTCCTGCTAAGGCGGGTCCATGTGGCGCCCATACTTACCCCAGAGGCAAAGATAGCTGGGTTCCCACTCTCCAGCATGTCCTCTAGCTCCTCACTGGTCGTGGTCCGGCCAGCTGCAAGCAGGAGTCACACTGAGTGCAACCCTCCCCAGGGAGTTCAGCAGCAGCCCTGCCAGACACCTCAGCCTTGGCCCCACCCTCGGGCCCCGCCCCTCAGCCCCTGCCCCACCCCCTCAGCTTACTGATCTCCAGCTGCCTCTGGATTCGGCCCTTGCAGCGCTCCCTGTAGTCAGACTGTGTAGCATTGTATTCAGACATGACCTCCACAAACTTCCGTGACAGTGTGGAGTGCTGGAGGTCCGAGATGGGAGTGCAGATGTCAGGCCTAGTCCCACATGGCCAAAGAGCCTCAGAAGTCGGGTGCCCACCCCAGAGGCCCAGCCCGCACCTGTGTCTTCCGGATCCTCAGGTCAGCGGATGAGCGGTTCAGGCCTTCCTCCTGCTCAATGCTCTGTTCAATACCTGGGAACAGATAGCTGCTGAGCCATAACCTGCCCCCCATTTGCCACTGGCCCCCGACCCACACACCCAGGATCTGGCTTAGAAACTACCTGGGGAGTCTTGTGTGGCCTGTAAGTGGGGTCACATGGAAAAGAGAGGAAAAGGGAGGGCCAGGCACTGATGGAGGAGGAGCCAACAGGGGCCCTTCTAGGCACGGTGCCACATATGCACACCCACTTGTGGGCACCTTCTATGTTAGGCCTGGTGGCTCAGGCCCATGCTGCCTCTCTCCTGCTCAGGAAGGGGTCATGCCCAGAGTAGGGAGGGCCAGGTGGCTGCAACCTGTAGGGCACACAGGCCCTAGGCCTGTGCGTTCCGGGCATGCACATCTGTGCTCCCCCAAGCACATGCAGGCTGTGTGTGGGGCCAGGCAGTGCTGGCCACTCTTCTTTAGGTGTGAAGTGGGGGACAGTGCCCAGAATGAAGCACTCCCTGGATGAAGCCTCAAGCATATATGCCAAGGGCGAGCCCAGAGCCTGGCACAGACAGGCCTGCAAGGTAGCCATTGAGTGAATGGCACAAGATGGAAGCCTCATAAAGGAAAGCAACACTCAATGTACCCCCTCAAAGTTGATGAAACCCCATGGGCTGCGTGGAGGAAACAGGCCTGGAATGCCCCCCACCTTAGACAAGGCTGGAGCCCAGACTCACTCTTCAACTTGGAGCGCACTTTGTTTGCTGTCTTCTTTATGTCGGACATGAGTTCCTCCAGCTCCTCCTTTGTCTCTGGAGGGGCAGAAGGGTGGGGGTAGACACCCGGGGTTCCCCCATGCCAGTGTTCAGCATCAGCACCCTGCGCGGGGGCCTGCCGATGCGGAGCTCTGGACAGATCCTGGGTCCTGGCTCTCCCTGCTTTCTTGGTTAAGGCTCTGCCTGCCCCTCCAATTCTGAGCCAGGGCCACACCAGCTGCAGTCTCACCCCCTCCTGTGCTGCCTTGCAAGGAGCCTCCTTTCTTTCCCTGGCTCCCCCACCCTTGAAGATAACAGATGGGTCTAAATTTAAGGCAGAAATAAATTGTGGAGCAGCTGGTGATGCTGCAGTTGGCACTGGGGAGCATTTACTTGATACTTGCCTGAATTAAAGGTGGGGGGTGTGCGCTCACCTAGTGTTACCTGGTGGCTCAGGGGGGCAAGCATCCAGTGAGTGGGCTGACAGGGCCAGGGACCAGGGAGGCAAAAGCCAGCCCTTACATCAAGGCACCCTGGGTGGGGGGAGTGTGTGCAGCAGACCTTGTTCTACTCACAAAGCCCCCCTCCCCAGGTGCTGAGCTCATTGGAGGCCAACAGCTGACTGCCCAGTGGGTGGATGGAGCAGGAGGCACCTGGTGGCCTGGGTGGGAAAGCGCTTCAAAGAGGTAGGCCCCCTGGAGGTAGCAGTCAGAGGGCCTATGAGAGGGAGAAGTTGAGGGAGGGCAGTAGCTGGTGTTTCTGGCCCTTGTTCCAACTGGAACCATCTCTCTAAAGCTGGCAGAAGCCATGAGGGTGCCCAGCTTGCCCCACTCCCTGTGAGGTGGTGGCTGGCAAAGGCGAGCAAGATGGTTGCTTCCCTCAGGTGCCGGCTGGGTGGAACAATGGGTCCTGGCAGCCCCCCAGACTCCACCTTCCAGAGAAACCATTACTGAGCTCAGGGCCGCCAACCTTTCTCATCCACCCTCTGCTTGCCTCCAGGGCTGAGGCTTCTAGAAGGGTCAATAAAGGATTGGGGAGGGGCATTCACAGTGGAGGGTGAGGTGGGGCCACTCCTCAGCAGAATGTGAGTGAGGTGGAGTAGGGGCTTTGAGGAGCGGAAGAGGGAGTCTCTTTCTTAGGAACAAAGGACAACTTGGTTACCAGCCTCTCTAACATCTCAGCCTTTCTAGCACAGACCCAAAATAGCCCAGCCCGGATGGCTGTCCCCAGAGGGGGTAGAGCAAGCCTCAGCCCAGGAAAGTATTCCCATTCACTGCCATCCTTCCTTGGGACTCCTCCTTAACTCTGCTTGCCCTTGCCCTAGAACTCTTCCCTCTACTCAGCCCGTATCAGCAACCTCCTGACTGCTCAGCTCACAGGTGAACTGGTTGCTGCTGACTGTGTGACATGGGAAGGCGGGCCAAAGGCGGCACAAAGGAGTCTGGGGGGAGCTAGGCAGCTCATCACCCCACGCCACCCCTCCTTCCAGCAGGTGAGAGGCCAAATGCCCAGCCCTTTATAGTTCCTGCCCCACAATCAGTCCTCTCTGACCCACCATGGACACACACTGACCCAGATACACATGGGCACACAGACCAAGCGTGTCATACGCTGCTGTCCCAGACAAACCTCTGGGGAGAGAGGCGAAGCATGATCACTGGATGTATGCCCTGCTTTGGGTGGTTCTCTCGCTCCTTTCTACCCCTTTTTAAGACAGTCACCCAGGCTCCCAGTTGACTTATTTGCCTTCCAAGAGCCTGGCAGTGGGCTTGGTTGGTGTGGCATTGGCCTTGGGTTCAAGCACACTATGGCGCTGTGGAGATTTTTATGTGGGTGCTTAAAAGTGCCTGTGGGCCTGGGGGTAAGGGGTCATGGACAGGGAGGCAAGTGACAGACATGAAACAGAAAGCAGGCCTGAGTACCTGGGTGGCAGGCTGTGAGCCCTGGCCCCTGTCACTGCCCCCTGGGGCTGAGGGGGAGCCTCCTCTAGGGGAGGGGATCTCTGGCTTGCATGTTGTCAACCTGGCACATTAAATAGTGTAGTAATCAACACCTCAACAGGAATTGTGGCAGCTGGGTCAGGGAGACGTGTCTGGGGACACAGGCTCCCTGTGCAGAGGGAGAGAGGTGACTTCCTGGAGCCCCGAGAATGCCCAGCGCCAGGGTAGCAGTGGCCAGGTGTCAAGGCTGCCAGCTCTTTCCGGAAGCTCTGCCTGCTTGGCCAGCTTGCCCTCCTACGGCGGCGTTGTTGCTTCAGAGCTGCCATCTGCTCCCCAGGGAGGCAAGGGAAAGGGAGGGGCCGGCTGAGAAGCCTCCTATTCATCAGAGGTAGCTCCCTCCCACCTTGCCTTCCTCCCAGAATCCCAGGGCTGCAGCCAGCCCAGGGTCTTAGGGGAAAAAAGCCAGTTTACTAAAGGAGGGCAGGCTGGCTGCCTAACCCCACCCAGGCCTGAGGAAGGCTACCCCTCTTACCACAAAGACTTTGTGGGAGACCCGGGTCCAGCACGTGATACTGGGCACTGATCCCTTCTCCATCCTGGGCCTGGAACAACTGTGTTTCCTGAGATTCTATAGAGCCCTCCCCAGCCTAGCCAGGCCCAGGTGCTCACCTTCCTGGAGGCCTATGGGGACTGAAACCCACCCCTCACACCTACACACTCACTCTCATCAGGGTTGGGGGAGGCCAGGATGGCACTGTGCTTCCGCTTCACCTCCTCCACGTTCTCTGAGATCTTGTCAATGAAGCCTCGGATCTCTTCCACCTGTGGGCCAAGGCCAGGCAATCAGGAGAAAATCCAGGGACGGGGCTTCTCTGGCCCATAGCCTATCCAGCTTAGGGCCAGAGATCAGGCTCAGGGCTGGGCTTCCACTGGTGGTAGGGGTGCTGGCTGCTCCAAGTTCCTTCTAGACCAGGGTGAGGAGGAGGGGGTGGTCCAATTCTAACTTTGCTCCCCTCTGAGCTTCAGTCTATTCACCCTCAAAATAGGTTCATTAATTGGAGCCTGAAGGCTGCTGAGCCAGGAACAGGGGTGTAAGTGCAGGGCCTGGCTCAGAGTCGAGATGCGGTCAGCCGAGGCCCGCCGGTATATGGGTAAAGGTTGGGTGTGCTGGCTCCCACCTGTTCAAAGAACTCGTCCATGAAGCGATCTCGGTCCACGGTGACAGTGACATCATCGTCATCATCGCTGTCCTTGGCCTGCACAGGGATATGTACACATGAGCACACCTGTGGTAGGACCACAGGACCTGGGACCCCAAACTGCCTGGCATCCATATATGGCAGGCTTGTGGGCTGCTGCTCCAGGGCAGGGACAAGACCTGGCTGTGCCCTCAGCTCCCAACCACAGTGAGACCTGAAAGATCCCTGGGGATCCAGCAGAAGGAGAGGGGCCTTGCCTGTTAAGTTGGTGACAGAGCTAAGTCTCCATCTCTAAGCCATGGACTCCTTCCCCTCCCTGTCCAGCTGCCTGCCCTTCCCCACAGGACTGGGGTCCTCCCAGAGCCTCCCTCATTCTAGGGTGCTGCTCGAGAGGTCCTGCCAGTGTCTGAGCAAGAAAACCTCAGCGCTTGTTCCCCAGGCCACTGACCCCAACTCATAAGACCTTGCCTGAGACAGGCCATGTGGGAGCCAGAGTTGTCTACTCTCCTGGCTAGGAGTTCCCAAGCTCTCTTTCCCAGGAGGGCCCTGGAGGGGCAGGCCTAGGCTGTGCAGGGCCTGGGCATGCCAACACCTCCCTCCCAAAAGGCCGATAGCTCAGACACAAGGCCATCCCTACAGCGCCCCACACAGGCCTGAGAGAGGGGCTGCCTGTTCGGGGCCCTGCCAGGCGCCAGCTTTACCCACTCAGTCCTCTCAGGCTACTCTCTTTCCTGGTCAGTTTTGACATGGGACTTGACCCTCTTTCTTTCCAGGCCCAGAAGGTACAAGAGGCCAGTCATGTTGCCACTAGGCTCGGGGCCTGCCGTAGGCCTCAGCCTCAGCCGCAGCCTCAGGTGCAGGTGCAGGCCCCACTCTGCTGCTCCAGCCACAGCCCTACAAAAGCCACCCTCGTCACGGAGCAGGGGCAATTACACCTCTGACTTCCCAGCATGCTAGCCGTGCTCATTACTGTCCATCCCACATGTTGACTCGGCCAGGGTCAGCCCACTCGACTGCCAAGACCAAGGTCCCTCTCTACAGCCAAGGCCGGATACCCCAGGGCAGGACTGCTCCCTTGACTGGGGTTCTCAGGCACGGTCTTACCTCCTCATTTCTCAGTGCCCCAAGGGGAGGAGGTACTACCCAGCTAGGCACTGGCCTCACTCTCTTCCGTCAGGGCCCAGGATAGAGGCAGGCAGAGGTTGAGAAGATAGGGAAGCCAGGGGGATTTACCCTGTGGGTCTGTTTGCTCCTCTACAAAATGGGGACAGTGACCCCTGGCTGCAGGGAAGGAGGGCTGAGGAAGAATGGGGAAGCACAACATGTTGTAAAGGGCTGTGCTCCTGGGGCTCTCGGGGTCCCACTACCCCACCAAAGTGGGGCTTGGTGAGGAGCTTTATGAAGACAGCTTGGAGGGGCCCCTCTCATCAAGAGATCACACCTCCTCCCCCAGCAGCTAAAATAAATCCTGGCTCCCACAAGTGCCTGCAGCTGCTACCAGGTGGCCCCCCTCCCCCTACCAAGCCCACTCATAGGCACAGGAAATCTAGGAGCCATTTCCACACTTTTAGACCATGCCCTACCCAAGAGTTCAACTAGAGGAGCACTCCCTAGGGAAACTGAGGCAGAGTGCAGTCTGGAAGGAGCCCAGTTCCCTTTCCAGGCAGCTTGCCCAGTTGGCAAGTGACCCTAGGAGCTGCTGTCATTCGGAGCCCTGCCCTCTCTGTTCCAGTGCCCAGGGAAGGACAGGGGTGGACTCAAAGGGGTAGAGGAGAATTTTCCAGCTGCCTTCCCAGAAAGAGTAGTGACCCGCTGGGGCCAAATACAAGGATACTGGAGTCACCGGAGAGAAGAGTCCCTGCCAGAGACCCCTGAGATCTGGGCTGGTGTCCCTCTCTGGGCCTCAGCTTGCCCATCTGTAACACAATGACACATCTTCTCCAGATGTCCAGCCAGCTCTGACCTGCTACCTCCACAGTCTCCCTGGAGGACTAAAGGCTCCAACAGAAGGTTGGCAAGAAAGCCGTCCTTCAGGCTCTCCACGAGGGCTGAGCTGGGAACAGGACATCTGGGGCCAGGGTTTAACAGGGCACCCAGGTTGGGGCATTCTGATTGGCTCCAAAGACAACTGGAGAGTTTAGCACCTGACCTCGCAGTTCTGGTCAAACCAGCTGTCATTCCAAGCAAAACCTAAAGGGGATGCTCCAAGGGGACCAAATCTGACCGCTACCTCTACAATCCACCCACTGTCCTCCCTGCTTTCCCATGCAGTTCCTTCCCTCTGCCTGGGTGCTGATTCCATGACGTTGACATTCTCCCCATCCTCAGATGCCACCTCCTTCCAGAGGCCTTCCACAGCTCCCTTGGGTCAGTATCTTGCTCTTCTGGTTGCCCACATCCTGTTCACACCCCTAATGGAGCCACAGTCACAGACTCTCAGGCCCTAAGGGACCTGAAAAGTCTCTTTGGCCCGGCTTCCAGCCTCAGCTTGCATACCTCCTGTGATAGCAAGCTCGTTAGCTTCCCCAGGCAGCTCTGCCCACCTTCAGCAGGCCCAATTGCTAGAAAGTCCCTTCCTTTCCTGTGGTTTGGCCCCAGGCCATAAAGAACCTGTTGGTGCCTTCTCCTGTGTCTGGCTCTGCCAGAAATCTGAAGGCAGCGTCCACATCCTACTTGAGTTTTTCTTTTTAAGTTGACCATTCCATCCCCTTCAGATCCTTCCCAGGGACCTTAAATTGTAGCTCCTGCCCATGACTTGTTCAACCTGGCCTCTGTCTTCCCCTGTAGTACAGGATACAAAGGCAGGAGCTGATTGTGGTCTGAGCAGTGCCAAAAAGCTGGAACATCCCCTCCCTCTTTCTACATATTCTACCTCTGTTAATACAGCCAGGGATCACATAAATGATCTGATCCTACAGCACTTCCTGCCAAGGAAAGTCTTAAGCCCTTCCCTATCATGGGCTTCTGGCTGGATTTTGGGCCCAAGTGAAGGAATATTTTTTGTTTCATTTCTTCATTTGTTCTGATCCTTGTTCTAGTTTGTGAGAATCTGATAGCTCATGAGTCTGTTGCCCCCTGCAACCTCATCCACATCTAAGGCCAGAGCCCTGTAACAGCACCTTTCTAAAGATGTTCTCCAGATTAACTAAGACACTAATCCATTCTCACTGATGGACACTGAATAAATGACTAGGATATAGGATGCCAGCACTCCTACTTCCCCTGCCCCCAACCCAGACACACCCCTGGGCTGGCCAGAGTGAATACCATACACATACATGAAGTGGGTCTTCAGGTATTTGTTGAATGATTTGGGCCCCAACTCCGTTGGGAATCCATCAACCCTCTCTGAGTGGTAGTCACAGCTCTGGAAAGAGGGCTGGGATGGAACTGAGTACTTGGGTGGCTTCCGCATGGAAGTGGCAGCTAGAGCCGTGGGACAACTACAAGCTTGAATGTTCAAAAGTCCTCTGGATCAATGCACCCAGACATCATGTGGGCGTCCTGTCTGCCATCTGGCCAAAGCGAAGCTCTGCCTCTTTCTCCCGAACCCCTCCTCTAAAACCCCCTGCTTAGAACCTGTTCCGAAGGACTCCTCAAGTCAGACACTGTGAGACACCCACACTCTTCCTCCTCCTCTCACATCCAACCAATATTCAATCTGTCCTTCTGTTTTCTGTTCATCCTTCAATGGTTCTTAACCCTGGTCGAGCATGAGCATCCCTTGTGGGGATATGAAAAAACAGCTTCCAGGGTCCTACCTCTGAAAGATCAAATCAGAATTTATGGGGGTGAGGATGGTGAGGCCCCTCAGGACTGAGAACCACTGGTCTGGGGTCACTCCTTCCTGACATGCTGGCTGCCTCAGCTCTGGCCTCACCACCTCCAGACTGAGCAACCAGGAAGGAAAACTGGGCAGGGTGGGAGGGGGTGCTGCCCCAACCACAGCAACCTCAGGAAGAAGAGAAGATCCCTGCTAGAAACACTGGCAGGAAGCCCTAAGCTTCTGCCAGTGGAGGCTAGACAGTCCTGGTGGTCTCACCTGGCAGAGGCTCCAGGATTCCAGGACACCTTCCTGGAAATAAGAGTTTGATTCTTCCAAGAGGCGCCTGCAGACCAGTCCCCAGGGATGGCAGCAGGCCAGGCGGCAGGCCAGCCGGCAGGGTTGATTCATTCCTACTGAGTAGGAGTTGCTGTTGTCTGCCTCAAGGGCTATTTTTTTCCCCTTCATCTTTTTAATGACTAATCAAAGTCAATATCATTAGAAGACAGGTCCAGAGGCGAGTGGGGTGTGTGAGAGGCCAAGCTGGGTCTCCAGGAAAGAGGGCTCTCCAGTCTGATCCCCATCCTGCATACTCCCTCCCCCATTAGATCCCTGCTCTTAGCAGGGTCCACCCCTTAGCAGGGCCATAGATGAGCTCAGGATGGCAGCTTCAGGTGGTGGGCAGGGGCTAGGCTCTGCCCTTTCTGGACCTCAGTTTTCCAACTTGTAAGATAGGAGGTTGGACTAGATAGCCCCTAAAGGCCATTCCAGCTGCATGCCAGATGAAAATGTGCTCAAATCCATTGTTTCTTTTGGGGAAACTCCAAGGAGGTCGTTGGAGGGAAGGAAGGAGGGACACGCCCTGGGCTTGTTCTCACACCCCCATTTCTTCTACTCCTCAAGGCAGATCCTGCTGTCTCCATTGTACAGATGAAATGAGCACAGAGAGGGAGAAAAGGGAAACTGGTGGGTAAAGAGGGGCACTGGACTTCCCATCCAGGCGTTCCTCGGCTGCTCCAGTGGACTGGGCACTGCTCTAGATCATGTGTCGTGACCACCCACCATTCTCTGGGTTGGGCATTCCCTCCTCTCTGCCTTTAGTCGTTCTGGCCCCCCCTTTTGGACAACCTTTCTCCTCCCATTCATATCAAATTCCTCCTCCTGAGTCATCCCAAGTCCTCTTCTTCCAGGGCCTGGCCATCCCAACTCTCCCTCCTCCCTCTGTCCTCTGGCTGCTGCAGCAGGTCCCTTGTGTCCCACACAGCCCAGCATGTACATAAACACAGTTCTGGGCCCAGGGAAGGTGGATCAGCTCCAAGAAGTTCTCAGAAAGAACACCAGGGAGGCCTCTGAATTGGGGGAAGGAGGCAACTGCATGCAAGGCAGGGCATCTGGGCACCTTGCCCCAAAAGTCTCCCCACCGGGTCACAAGAGTGTGACTCTGGGCTAGTCTTTGCCCTTCTTAAGCCTCTGGTTGCTCTTCTGATCTCTGAGCACTGCCACAGTGTTGAGGCCCCACATTGGCCCTGATGACCCCTTCACTCTCCATATGAGAGGAAGGGACTGGACAAGGCTGGAGGGCTGAACCTGGCCGGCAGAGTGCTGAGGAAATGAGTCATCTCCTTCACCTAGTGTGACTTTTATAAATAAATTTCCTTTGCCAGCCTTCCTTCCAAATGCGGTGGGGTTGGATGGGAAAGGGGGAAGACAAGGTTGGGGGTAGCGCAAGTTGCTGTCCCAAGCATCACCTCTGTCCAGCCTGGCCAGTACTGGCCTCTTGGTTCCTGGGGATTCTGGTCCAAAAATTCTGGCTCCTGGGGTTCAAGGTCTACCCCAACTATGGAGTCAGAGTCAGAAGTCCTGTGACCGCACCTACTGCCCTGAAATATGGGTTCTAGGTTTTCCTATTTCCACTTCATAGATGGGAACTTGAGGCCCAGAGGGAAACTTATGGGAATGGCAGCCCCTAGACGAACTGTTTCACCCCGCCCCTCCCAATTGCAGGTTCCTGCCAGTATCCCATCCGGCTGCTAAAAACCCCTAATGGGCAGTACTCCCAGCAATGAGTATGGCAGCCTCCATGAGCTCTGAATACCTGAGGGTTGAGGTCTGGAGAGGAATCCTCAGTTGATTCACAGAGAAACCAGGCCTTAACATCTAAGGGCTCACCTGGGCTATGGGGGAGGGGGTAGTGAAGGGGAGGGGGTCACAGAAACACATACCAGAGCAACACATGTGGGTACAAGCTCCCTACAATTCCAGCTCTCCTGGGAATCACCCAGTCCCAGCCAGGCCTAAGTCTGCCTGTCTTTAGGACCAGGCAAAGCCCTTTTCTACCATCCCTCTTGATCTCCCAGGCAAGCCACTTGCTCTCTTGTGCCTCAGCTTCTCCTTCAGCAGAGGGGATAAAGGCTGATGAGCCAGAGGCCCTGTCGTATGTAGAGGACCGTGTTCCCTCTGACCATTGGTTCCCACATATACTCTTGTCTGACCCACCTGGCACCCAAACATCAGCAGATGCACCACAAGACCATTCAATGCAAAGATTACTCTTTCTGAGTCAACGCAGCACAGGAAACTTGAGGGCAACCGCAAGGGCTGGCAGGGAAATGTTTAGACACCACATAGGACATGAGGGACCATCTTCTTCCTTTGAAACCTCCTGGGGTTTACCCAGGGGGGCTGGGCACTTAGTCGGGAATAACACAGATCTGACGGTAGGGTGGAGGCTAGCAGCCAAAGCAAGAGGGAAATGAAGGCAGGAATGTACAGGTCCCAGCCCCAGGCTGCCCAGGAGACGAGACCAGTATACTGGGGAAGACCCAGGCACAAACACAGGGAGCCTCTGGGCAGTAAGGACAAACCATGGGATCAAAAGCCCAAAGGACACTTGAAACTCTCCATATGAGGGGACCTAGGTCTCGGGTTCCAAGGTGGGCAGCAGGGGTAGGGTCCAGGGGAGCCGCTGAGCCAAGGATTCCCCAGAGAACAGCAGGCAGGGCTCACCAGCACGATGGTCATCCAGGGGACCAGACGCAACTCAACCTGGTCAAGAGCACTGGTGGCCCCCCTCCCCAAAGGCAGCCTTCATTTCCTTCACTGCTGGCCCGCCCCCCACCACCCCCACAGGCCTGCGGGCTTGGGAATCCCTAAGGGCAGAGGTGCAAACTTGCTAAATGGCAAAAGCCAGGGGAGAGGGAGGGACTGTAGATGAGGAGCAGGCGGCCGGGGTCTCTGTCAGGGCTGGAAAAGGGTGGGCTCTAACTCAGAACCTTTGCTTCCTCCTCCTACTTCCCTCCAACCCCGCCCCCGTAGCCACACCTCGGGGGCCTTTGAGACACAGGTGGAAAACAGGGTTAGGATTGAATCCGACAACAGTACCCCTGAAGAGTCTGAAAATGCTGTGCCGGGCTGCTCGCAAGCCCTGAAGGTGGACTCGGGGGCGGGTCTGACCCCTCCCGCACCCGGGCGAGCACCAGATCCCAATCGTGACCCGGTGGGGAGCCACAGGTGATGGGAGCTACAGGTGATGGGGGAGGCGGGGCACCCCGTGAGCCAGCGCCCGCCGGGGAGCCCGGCCCCACCCGACCGCCCGGTTTCTGCAAAGCACCCCGCAGCGGGGTTCTAGGCAGGGGACCCCTCGGGGCCCCTGCCCACCACAGTCCTGTCGTCTGTTTATACCAGAGTGGGCACAAGAGGGTCAGTGATCAGGCACCGTGTGGGGACATAGACCGGACTTGCCGCGCGGGCCAGGAGAGAGGTCAGGCTCTGTCCAGCCACAGACGTCCAATTAATACCCCTTCGACCCCACCCCCACCCCCCAGCAACAAGGAGGAGCGCAAAAGTTTAACCCTGAAGTCTAGCCGCCTGCCCCCGGGCCAACGGGGCTGAGCTCACGCCAGCCCATGACCCGAGTGGGTCGGAGGGGTGGGACCCGTTGGGGGTCGGGGTTCCCAGCTCCGCCCCGCTCTCTACGGTCCCGGTCGAGGATGTAGGGGCTGCCGCCCAGGTGACTGCGGGAGCTGGGTGAAGAGTGGCCCACGCGCAGGACAAGCGGCGAGCGGCGGCGCACCGAGGCCGAACTCACCGTGCGGAGCTCCTGGGTTCGGTCCTTCATGCTCCCGGGAGTGGCCGCGGCGCCGGCTGCAGCCTTGTGAGTCCCGCATGCGCGGCGGCCTCCCCGCGGCTGCGCAGCGCTAGCCCGGCCCCGCCCCGGCCCCCGGGACCCCGACCCAGCCCCCAGCCCGGCCGCGCCCAGCGCCCGCCCCGCCCCGCCTAGCCCCGCCCCGCCCCGCCCCGCCAGGCTCTGACTTAGCGCAGGATTTGAGAGTCGGGCTCCCTGCTCTCATCCCCCAACAAGGACCTCTGTTGGTTGGAAGCCCTGGGATCTTTTCTCCCTGCGTCTTGACCCATGATCCCTGCCTAGATCGGGCCCCAAAGCCCCTGCTCCTTCCCTTGCTCCAACCCTCTCACCACTGAGCCTCTCAGCCTCATTCTAGACTCCAGATTTTTACCTCCCCGCACCCCTCACCGCTCCAGTCCCTCACATCCCCGGGCATTGGCTGGAGGTTGGACCCCCCCCCCCCCCCCACACACACTTGCTTTTATTGCTTGGAACTTCCAGCACCACCCTCCAAAAACCTCCTCCAGTGTTGCAGCCTTTGAGCCCCTGCCCTACACACTTTTCCCATCCTTTTACCTAGACCAAGGCTCTGACCTCCCTTTCCCCAGAGCTATTTCTCAGTTCACAAATCTGATGGTGGGTGACCACTCCCTTTCCTTTAGTTTCCGCTCCCAGCAGGATACTGGAACCCTTCTATGGAGAAGGAAAGATCTAAGTTGTAGTCCCCTTTCCTTCCCCCATCCCTGCATCCTCAACGCTGAGCCCCAGCTCCAACCCTGAGATCCTCTTTCCTATGTAGAAGCTGGGACCCAGCTCCCTCTGGCACTAATGGGAAAATCTTAGCAGTACTGTAGAGGGGTGGTGGGTGGGGGCTAGTCAGTAGCAGATGCTCCTTTTCTGGTCTCTGCCAGCACCTTGAGACAGCAGCCACACATACACCCCAGCTGTCTCCTCTGCGCCCTGGCCCAGACCCTCTGGACCTCAGGCCAAGCACAACCTCTTCCCTTTCCCAGGGCTGCCAAGGTATTGCTCTGGAGCTGGGCCAGCCCCTTGCTGCCCAATATGTCTGGGTCTGGCATCTGTCCCAGACTGTGGGCACAGGTTGGCTGGATGGCAGACACACAAGCCACCTATGGAAAATCTGGCCCAAAACTAGCTCAGATTTGGCCTGGCATGAAAGATGGTCACACCCCTCCCAGTTGTCCAGACCTTGAGTGTCCCACAGAGCAAGCATTGGTGGTGTCCCCCCTCATCCTTTTGGGTAGTGCCCATTTGACAGATACAAAACCGGAACTCACCTGCTAGAGGGACTGCTAGGGAACAAATGATGGGAAAGGTGGTGCCTGACTCCTGAAGCAGTGGGCTCGCCTTTGTGCAGCATAATTCAGCAGGGTGGGTCATGGGTGCACTCCAGAGACCAGTGTCTGGCCGTGAAGGCAATAATAGGAGACACAGCTCCTACCCTCAGAGAGTCCCGGTGTCATGTCAAGCATCACTGAAATGTAGATTAAATGATAACATGGAAAATAAATAATGAACATGTGCCCTTCACCTTAAACTCTGCCTTTCTCATAGATGTCTTATCCTCATTCAACCATTTGTTCATTCATCAACTATTACCTTGGAAGCCATACTCTGGGGCCACTGTTCTGTAATAAATGTGCTTCTACTGTAGTGGGAAAGACGGACATGATTTCAGTATGTGAGGGATCCAGGGTGGCTTCTCAGAGGTGGTGGTGTTTGAGGTGGATGTTGGAGAAGTGGGATTGCAGTGGGCGATGGTGCAGGCTTCTTGAATAGAGGAAGGAGTGTACCCAAAGACATGGGTCGGAGGAGCATTTGGAAAACTGCAGGAGCCTGCTTTGGTGCTGTGCTTAGGTATGAGAGTGAGTGTGGGTAGGAAGTAAGTGAGGGAAGCCCAAATGTTAAACTTTGTTGTGCAGACAAGGAAGAGGTCATCAAGGGGCAGACATTCATTCCTTTAATTAAAAAGTATGAATTGAACATTTACTATGTGCTGATTGTTGTATATGTTGGGGATGTGGCAGGAAACAAGACAGGCAAAGTCCTTGTCCTCATAGAGTCTATGTTCTAGTAGAGGAAAGAAATGATAAACAAGCAAAAAAAAAAAAAACAACCAATATGTAATGGTGATAATACACTATGGAGAAGATAAAGTAGGAAAGAAGGGGTAAGGGTTGCTGGGTTTGAGGTGGGAATTCCAATTTTAAATAAGGTGGTCAAGGAGGCCAGAGAGGGTAGCATTTGAACAAAGATCTGAAAGAGGTGAGGGAGTGAGCCATGAACATCTCTGGGGGAAAGTATTCTGGGCGTAGGGACATCAAGTGCAATGACCAGGAGCAGGGGGCATGTCGGAGAAATAGCAAGAAGAGAAGGATATTTGGAGCATAGTAGGTGAGGAAGAACTCAGAGGAGCTGAAGTCAGAGAAGTAGAGGGAGGAGCATTGTAAGTGATGGCATTTTTTGGCTTTTACTCTCTGAGTGATATGGGAGCCACAGGAGGTTTTATTTTTTGTTTTTTTTTTGTTTGTTTTTGTCACAGGAGAGTTTTGAGCAGAGGGACATAACCCACCCTGGGCTTTAACTGGATTAGTCTGACTACTGGGTGGAGCATAGACTGAAGTGAACATAGAGGATTGGGACATCATTTTGTGGTTGCAATATTGCAGGTGGCTGGAACAAAGATGATGGCAGTGGTAGTGATGAAAAGTGGTCATATTCTGCATACATTTTAAACAGAGCCAACTGAGAGAAAGAGAGGACTCAAGGATGAGTGGAGTCAAGGGTTTTTGGCCTGAACACCTGGACAGATGGTGTCGCATTTGCAGAGGTGGAGAAAGAACTGGAAAAAGAGCAGGTTGAAGGGGAGGGTAAATCAGGATTTTCAATTGGGACCTGTTAAGTTTGGGTTGCACATTAGACTTTCCAATGGAGAAGGAAAGTAGGCCATTGCCAATGTGAGCCTGGAATTCATGGGAGAGGTACAGACTGGAAGTGATCAGCATGGAAGTTTTTCGGTGCAGGGGAAGAGGGCCCCCCAGTAGCAGCATGGAAGTCAGCTGGCTATAGCAGGCTGCTGTGGTATCCAGGGGAGAGACCAGAGACTGTGACCATCTCAGTACGAGCAGGACCCACTGGGCCGCAGAAAAGTGTCAAAGGCACTCGAGAGATTTATTTAATGTTGCTATACCTTATTTCAATAACTAAAAGACTGTATCTTATGTAAAACATAAAAACAATGACAGATATTATGAACTAGTGGCAGCAGGCCCTGATGACTGGTTGTGGGCAGAGGAGAGCAGCAAGGGTACTTGGAGGAGGAACAGATCCAGGGAAGTGGAACACTTCAGACTGGGATGTGTAGCACCAGCATCCAGGAAGACACGTGGATGGTCGATGAGGAGTTGGTGTAGAACGCCAGCTGGAGACTTGGGAGGCAGGCGTAGTTTGATTTTGTGTGAAGATGGAAGTTGTGGGTCACAGTCCAGGGAGTATGTGTGTGTGTGTATGTGTGTGTGTCTGTCTGCCTGCCTGCCTGCCTGTCTCTGGAAGAAGAATTAAAGGCTGAAGGTGGAAGTGGAATACCCCCTGACATGTGAGGAATGGGCAGAGACAGAGGAGTCAGAACACAGCAGGGGCTAAAATAGACACTGCTGTACAAGATGCCATGGGTTCTGAGAGCAGCCAACTCCCTACAGTCAGGGACCACTTCACAGAGGCAGGGCATTTGAATTGGGGCTTAAAGTATGAGTAGGAGGTGGCCAGATGGAGAATAGCATTTACTGTCCTGTGTGGATATAGTCTGTGGTTGGGGTCTGTCCCCTCATTAGATGAAGGGACGGAATCAGGTCATGTTCTCATCGATTAACGAAGGCTGGCACAGAAAATGTATTTGTGGAGTAAGTGGTAAATACCTGTATGCTGGAATGAGCAGTGTTCCCACAGAGAAGCACTGGGAGAAAGGCTGGGCATTTGAAAGCTCCCAAGGCCCCTGGGTCTCTATCCCACAGGCTGCGACCAGCGTGGCTCACTGGGTCCCTGATGTTGGCAGCTGCTGCCACCTGCTGGGCAAGGCCAGTGTTGCCTCGCTGATGCCATCACCGCTCAGCACCCCTGTGCCGAAGTTGGGATGATGGCAGTCACCACCTGCCTCTCAGAAGCCCTCCGGCTGGTGGGAGAAACACCCTGACAGTGACAAGACAATGATGGGGAAGCATAGGGCCGTAGAGGTCTGGACAAGGAACAGGAGGCAACTTGTGCTGGATGCAGGAACAGAACTGTCCCTGGGGCAGAACTGTGGGCAGTGTGTGCGTGCGTGTGTGACATTCTCCCGTTGCTGTTTCTCTGCTCTTGTCTGACAGGCTTACTCCCTCTTTCTGCTCTCCTGTGAAGTCTGGCCCTGGACCATCAAAGAGCTGGCCAACGTGCTCCCCATCTAACCCTTACTGTGACCCTATCCGTGCAGTCCTCCATGAGTCCACTTCACAGATGAGGATGATGAGGCTCTGGGAGGTAAACAAAGTCATGAGGGTTGGGTGACATGGTTTGTAAGCTGCCCAGCACTGCACATCCCAGCTGTTATGACCACAAAGCACAGCGCTCTACCCAGCTGGCAGCACTCCTCGCCGCCGACTCCCCTGACCCCAGGCCACCATCAGCAGGGAGCTAGGGAAGATGGAGATATGGGCAGCAGGCAGCCGGGAATAAGCCCCACTGCTCGGTGTGTGATGACTGAGGAAGGGCTTTGGGATGGAATTCACTATGTGCCTGAATGTAAGGTTATTCCCTCTTTTTCCTAATGAGATTAAACAATTTTTGGCCCAAAATTCTGATTTAAACATCTAAGGATGCAGATGAGATAAGCAGCTCTGCACTTATATAATATTTAATTAAACTATTTAAAATTTAAATGTTTAAAATCCCATACTTTTTAGAGTAGCTTTATTTTGAAACAATTGTTTTACTTTTGTGGTTTGTGGAAGTTTACTCAAACCCTTCACTTGCATTTCTGCCTTTCATTGTCATATGTCTTCCCTAGCATCTCCTTTGAGTTT